AATGAAATTCTCTTTCTTCCATGCCCACTATCTGTTCCATAAGGGGTTTCCTGACCCACCCCTCTCTCCCTCTGAATCCCCCTTTACATTCTGACTCTTCATCTACATATAATCATGTTCCAACTTGTTTTGGGCTGTTTGTGCACATCTGCGATATGTGATATTTATGGCTATCTTGAATACCCTCCCTCTTCCAAACCTAAACCTAATTCCTTACCCTGGCCCCCCCCCCCAGGTTCCAAAAGCTTTATCATAGCCCCAGAGCTCAGAAACATATGCTAGGAGCATGAAACAATGTGTTTGCAAAACTGAATTGATCAGATAACTGAGATGCCAAATGACCAGCTACACCTAAAAATACCTAACAGCTGTTTGCTTTATTTGACACGAAATGGCCTAGAACTGACATCAGAGAACAAAAATTTATGAGAAATCCCATATTCCCCTTAAGTTGGCCAAGTGGAGTTGGGTCCTATTGTGTTCAACTGCTAAGAACCATCTCTGGAGGTGTCTGCATGCACCTCAGCCTTCTCCTTTCACATCTTCTGGCATCCCCTATCAGACACAGGAAAAGAAGATTGGTATAGCTATAGAGAGCTGAAGACCAATGCCTAAATAATTTTACACTCATCTTCTCTGCTGTCAGCTTAATTAAGGACAATGACCTGCATCAAGAAGGCCGCTGCAGGGGCAGCTAGGTGGCAAAGTGGATAGAGCACCGGCCCTGAATTCAGGAAGACCTGAGTTCAAATGCAGCCTCAGACACGTAACATTTACTAGCTATGTGACCCTGGGCAAGTCACTTAACCCCATTGCCTAGCCAAAAAAAAAAAAAAAAAAAAAAGGCTGCTGCAGCAAAACTAGTCAGGAGTACTGGCTTTTAGTCCTGGCTCTGCCATGAACTGTGTGACCTTAAGCCCCTTTCTTACCTGAGACTCATTTTCCAAATCTGAAAAAGTGAAGGGATTGGAGAACCTGGCTCTGATGTTATCACTGCCTACCTGGGTAACTTTTGGCCTCAGTTTCCTAACTGAGGGGGTTGAACTTGATGACTCTGAAGCCTAGGTGTGCTTATAAAAGTTTAACACTGTTCTCCTGGGAAAAAAAATGTCCGTGACCCACTTGTAAATTCAATTTGCTTAATTAACGTTTTTTCCATTGACACAATCAACAAAACAATGAATCAAGCCTTGATTTGCAGTGCTTGCAGATAGCTGGTTTAGTGTACCTCTGCCCAGGGTCCTTTGAGTTCTGAGACTATGATCCCGAGAATTCTTTCCAGATCAGAGATCTATGTGGTTCAATGATTATAGAAAACATGACACTGTCAGTGATAACCATGGGTCAAAAGTGGATTGTAGGGAGCTGAGTGGGTCTGTAGAGAGTTGATACAACTCAATTTTATTCTATATTCAGCAATTGACTATGTATTGCCTTAGAACAGAGGTTCCCAAACTTATTTGGCCTATCTCCCCCTTTAAAAAAAAGTTACTCAGTGCCCCCATGGAAATCTACTTTCTTTAACCCTTTGATGATTTTTTAAAAAAATTTGTGCCATTTAAAAAAATTAAATATTAAAAAAGACACATCTTAAATTTAATAACTTATTGTAAATTTGTATTTTTCCCCTGCATTGAAATTTTGATGATGCAATATTGCATCATGTGATTACATAGTATCATTTTGTAAACAAGTCATTACATGCACATATTCCTTCTGAGGCATGCTGAATTTCCTGACAATGTGCGATGTGCTCACCTGCCAACACTTGTTTGTTAAGACCTATTAGTGGACTTGATCACCGATGGATTATTACTTGCATTTTGTGTGTTTATTTGGAAAACAATGTAATCACTATGACTTTAACTCTGTTACACAACAGATGAAACATGTATGAATGGTTTTTCAAAATTATCTTCTCTTCTTTCCTTATGCTTTCACTGCCCCCTTATTTTTATTCAATGCCCCCCAGTTGCACCTGAGGCTATTAGCACTGTTCCCCAATGTTCCGGCACCCCCGAATTGGGAATCTATGATTAGAATATATAACAGGCTGAGGTAATGGATGGAATGCTGGGCCTGGACTCAGAAGACCTGAGATAATGCCTCAAACACTTCCTGTGTGACCCTGGGCAAGTCACTTAACCTTTGTCTGCCTCAGTGTCCTCAACAGTAAAATGGGGATAATAATGCCTACCTCATAGGGTTGTTGTGAGGTTATTGTGATCAGATGAATTATTTCTAAAATGCTTGGCACAGGGTTTGGTGCATAGGTGCTTAAAAAATACTTGTTTGCTTCTTTCCTTGAGTATTTCCTTACCCCTCTAATTGCTATAGGGGCAGCTAGGTGGCTCCATAGTGCATAGAGTTCTGGGTCTGGAGTCAGGAAGACTCGTAGGCCTGAATTCAAGTCTGGCCTCAGGTACCTACTAGTTGTGTGACTCTGGACAAGTCACTTAACCCTGTTTGCCTCAGTTTCTTCATCTGTAAAATGAGCTGGAGAAGGAAATGGCAAGCCACTCCAGTATATTTACCAACAACACTCCAAATAGGGTCACAGAGAGTCAGACACGACTGAAAAAAAAAATATGACTAAACAACAACTAATTGCTATAAAATGTTTTATCATGCACAGAAAGACTTTGCTAGCCCAAAGAAGTCTATTTCTCTTCTCTGTCTTGTTTGGCAGGTAATGTGTGGTTCCCTTTCATCCGATATGAATAATTATGCTAACAAGGACATATTCCTTCTTTTTTAACAAGTGATAAGCATTCTCTTTTATTACAAATACATATACCCTCCCTGGGTGACCAAAAAGTACCTCTTCCTCTTTGTTTCATCTAACAAATGGGTAGAAGAATAAGAGACAAGAATAAATATCACTAGTCAAATTGTAACAGACACACATGTCCCATTATGTGCTGCTGGAGTGTGGCTCACTGAGTAAATAAGCTGCAGTTTTTCCTGTGTCTGTCTTCTGTACTGGCTTATTGGCAGTAGCTAGTCAGAAACCAAAGAGAATCAATCAATCAATCAATCAACATTTATTAAATGCCTACTATGTACCAGCACTGTGCTAAGCCTGGGGACACAAAGTGACAAAAGACAGTCCCTGCCCTCAAGGAGCTCACAGTCTAATGGGGGGGGCAACAACATGCAAACACATATATACAAACAAGCTATATATAGGATAAATAGGAAATAACAGAGAGAAGGCACTAGAATTTAGAGAGGGAAAGGTTTCCTGTAAAAGATGGGATTTTAGTTGAGACTTAAAGGAAGCCAGGGAACCCTGTAAGGGAAGTTGAGGAAGGACAGGGTTCCAGGTATGGGGGACAGCTAGAGAAAATGCCCAGAGAGGAGGGATGGAGTTTCTCATTCATGGAATGGCCAGGAGTTGAGTGTCATGGGATCAAAGAGCATGTACTGGGGAATAAGATGGAAGAAGACTGGAAAGGTTGGAGGGGGCTAGGTGGCTCAGTGGATAAAGTACAAGGAATTGAGTGAGGAAGTCTCATCTCCCTCAGTTTAAATCTGTCCTTAGTCACTTACTAGCTGTGTGACCCTGGGCAAGGCATTTAACCCTGTTTGCCTCAGTTTCCTCATCTGTAAAATGAACTGGAGAAGAAAATGGCAAGCCACTCCAGTATCTCTGCCAAGAAAACCCCAAATGGGGTCATGAATAGGACACAAGTAGAAAATGGCTGAACAACAACAAGATTATGAAGGGCTTTGAAAGCCAAAAGAGGATTTTGTATTTAATCCTGAGAACTGGGAGCCACTGGAGAGAATTCATGCACATACATAATATGTACCTAACAAAATTGAAGTTTGTAAATGAGTGATATGTAAATCTGTTAAGAGAGGCAAGTGTGGCACAGCTAATAGAGAAGTGCTCTTACAGTAATCTCTCTCTCTCTCTCTCTCTATATATATATATGTATATATACTGATTATGTGATTCTGTTCATAACACTTAACCTGTTGGTGTCTTGAGCAGTTCTCTAAGACTATAGAGTAATTGCCAATCTACATTAGTGGTGGGGTTGGTGGAGATCCTCCCACCTCCACCCAAAACCCCAGGGGGAGATGATATTCCCCACACCAAAGAACATCCAGATCTAGATGTACTAGAAAAAACTAGATGCTATGCTCAATTGTTTCTAAGACACCCAAGGCACTGCAAGTGCTTCCACCATCTTCTCAATTTTGGCCTTTTGAGACAAAGCTCTAGGGGTTCTGCTCTAGTAATGGCTGTGGATATGTGGCCTTGTTTCTTTAGAAAAATCTTTTGTTTTTATATCATCTTTATTCTTTTACAATATAACACTTGGTGCTTCTCATCCCCAATGACTCATCCCTTATACCAAAAAAATTCAAAAAATCCCTGAACAAGTAAATATGGGATGAAAGAAATCATAAATTGAGCTAGAAGGGTGTTTAGAGACAATCTAGGCAAATCTTATTTTACAGATGAGGAATTTCAGGGCCAGAGAGTTTAAGGGGCCCAAAGTCACACAAATAGTTAAAAAAAAAAGTAAGGAATAACAGTTTGAATTTGAACCCAGGTTATCCGACCCCAGTGGTCTTTTCACTATGTTATGAGTATAGGGGGCCCCAAGGGTGAATGTGGAACTGAGTTTTGGCAGACAGCCTATGGTTGGATCAAGGGTAGCCTTTGATAATTAGTGACCTTTGGTACATCTGGATAATAAAAAGAAATATCCTGATAAATAACGCAACACTCAAAGTAATTTGAGAATTGATTATTCTGTTAGTTGTCTGGGTGACAAAGTTTTTTAAGGTCTCTACCTTATTGACTTTTCCCCCAATAAAACAAATAATCCAGCCCACTGTCATCCTCTGGCCTCCCCCTTCCCCACCCTTGCCCTGAAAGAGTCACAAGGAGGTGAAAGATTATTTCTACTTGGTCGTGTTCCATGTTTATCCTGTCTGAGCTTGCTTTGAAATGGTGCAATCTGAATTGACCACAAATAGATTATTTGATACTGGTAACTTAGAGTCTGCAGCTTGGGGCGCATCTAGCAATGCATTTTATTAGTTGCCTGAAAGTTGTTGCCCTATCCAATTATGCCAACCTTAGATAACATTTTAGAGCACATTGGAGAATTTAACTTCTTCCAGAAACGAGCCTTTTGCCTCCTATGCCTGCTGTCGGTTGCTTTTGCCCCCATTTATGTGGGAATTGTCTTCTTGGGCTTCACCCCAGATCACCGCTGCTTCAATCCTGGTGTTGCAGAATTAAGCAAGCGATGTGGCTGGAGTTTGGAAGAGGAGCTGAATTACACAGTGCCAGGCCTGGACATACCAGGAGATGCTTTTACCAGACAGTGCCGGAGATACGATGTGGACTGGAATCAGACAGCCCTCAGCTGCACGGACCCTTTTGCCAATTTTACCAGCAACAGGAGCCACATCCCTCTTACCACCTGTCAGGATGGCTGGGTATATGACACTCCAGGCTCCTCCATTGTCACTGAGGTAATAGCAAACCAGAATCCCCATGCCTTTTCTGGTCTGCTTATGGGGACCAGTGGGAGGGTCAGGTCTTCTGATAGAGGGGAAAATGAATTCTATCTGTTTAGGTTTGGTTTTGAGAGAGGCAGCATGGTATAGAGGCAGCTAGATGGTGCAGTAGATAGACATCAGGAAGATTCATCTTCCTGAATTCAAATCTGACCTCAGACACTTGCTAGCTGTGTGACCCTGGGCAAGTCATGTAACCCTGTTTGCCTCAGTTTCCCCATCTGTCAAATGAGCTGGAGAAGGAAATGGTGAGAAAACCCCCGAAAGAGTCACAGAGTCAAATACAAGTGAAATGACAGAACAACCACAGAAGTATGGTGTAGTGTCTAGACAGCTGAAATTGGAACCAGGGAGACCTGGGTTCAAGTCCCACCTTTGATATATACTAACTGTGTAATCCCAAGTAAGTGACTCAGGAGCTCAATGTACCTATATAAGGAATAAAGTTGCAGGAAAGGTGTTAATCTGCATTGATAGAGCAGATCTTAATGTCAATGAAATCACAGGTTCAGTTCCTATTCCTTTAGGATACTTTCCTCTCAATGAACGAGGCTGGTAGCACAAGGCTTATTGTCCCCATTTTACAGATGAGAAAAGAGAGACTAGGAGAGAGGTTAGTTGACTTGCTAACAATCCCCCAGTCAAGTGTCAGAGACAGACTGAAAAACAGATCTCCTGAATCTAACATTTCCCCCTTGAGTCATGCTGCTTTCCACCATTAATGAGAATTAGTAAGAGTAGATATATTCAGCACCACGCTGAGTCACAGATAGACCAGGTTTGTGTGTATGTGTTTCTGTATCTGTGTGCAGGTATGTGATTTGACTTCTTGCCAAAGGTGGCTACTTTAAAAGGCAAATACATTTTGTAGATTTTGAAGTCCCAGATAGCTCAGTCATAGAGCTGCTTGCTTCCAACATATTTTTCTGCTCATCTGGAAACTTACTTCTGGACAGTAACTCTAGTATCCATCACTTCGAGTTTCAGAGGAGCTTAAGGTTCAGAAATCTGTTCTTTTCATTTCATAATCAACATGAATGACTGCCTCAGCTCTCTGGCGTCAGAGCAGCTACATACTTTGGTAACAGGTTTAGAGCTTGAGGAAAGCAGACAACTTAGCAACAGACTTCTCCACACGAAAGGGAAGTGCCTTAAAGGGCCGGTGTCTTACACTAGAAATATCACCTGTTGACTCTACAGAAATTTCTGTTCTGATCTCAAACTTCTTAACATGCATATAGTTGAAATGCTCAGGCTATGAGTGGTTCTCCTTGGGTGTGTATGTTGTTCAGTCATTTTCAGTTGTGTCTGACTCTATGTGACCCCATCTGGGGTTTTCTTGGCAAAGATCCTGGAGTGGTTTGCCATTTCCTTCTCCAGTTCATTTTACAGATGAGGAAAATGAGGCAAATAGGGCTAAGTGACTTCCCCAGGGTCATACAGCTAATGTCTGAGGGCAGATTTGAACTCAGGTCTAGGAAGACCTAGGAAGATTCTAAGTCCAGCGCTCTATCCACTTTACCACCTAGCTGCCCTTCCTTGTATATGGGAATGTGTACCCCTAGACTTCTTGATACCTGACAAAGGTGCCACTTCCTTGAATAGCTTGCTCTCAAAGTCTTTGCCCTGATAGGAATGGATCCCGGCGGGGATTCCATACCCTGAGAAATAATTCTCCCACAATACTTTAGCAACAGTGAATGCACTCCAGCTCCTGAAGAACCTTCACACCTTTTGAAATGATCAGGCATTACTAAGATATGGCTAACATTCTTACTATTTTCTTAAAGCAGTAAGAAGTTGATGAAGCCAAGTTCCAAAGGGTTGCTAGTGCTTATGTTGGCAGCTTTTTTTCTTTGCACGTATTAGGCAGAAGTTTCACACTTCTTAGTAACATTTGCTACCATCGTGGGCAGCTAGGTGGTGTAGTGGTTAGAGCATTAGGCCTGGAGTCAAGAATACTCATCTTCCTGAGTTCAAATCTGGCCTCAGATGCTTACTAGCTGTGTGACCTTGGGCAAGTCACCTAACCCTGTTTCCCTCAGTTTCCTCATCTGTAAAATGAGATGGAGAAGAAAATGACAAACCACTCCAGTATCTTTGCCAAGATAATCCCAGATGGGTTCACGAAAAGTCAAACACAACTGAAAAACCACTGAACAACAATGAACCATCTTGGGTCGGTAAATCTGTTTCTTACTAGTTCGAAGGTCCTCTCTTGACTTACATGTCTCAGGTCATCCTACAGAGTTATATGTTCTTTCATGGCCATGGAGTGGCTTCCTGGTGGCATGTGTGGGATCAATCTGAGTCCAGTCCAGCACTCCATTGTAGAGCACTGACTTTTGCCATTGTCTCAACAGCAGCCTTCAAACTGCTGGAACTTAAGCTCTTTGGCATCACTTCCTCATTTCTTGGTTTGTATTGCTTTTCTCAATTCTTCATCTGCCATTTACTTTTGCTGCCAGTCATCTATAGACAACTGAGGCAAAGAAAGTCGGTTCTAAGCAACGAGTTTCACTTATACTTCTGGCATGCCATCTCATGGAAGTCCCAAGGTATCAGCCAAATTTTCACATGATTGTGGCTCCCATGCCTGGAAATCACATATAGTTCTCACGTCTTCTTTCAGTATCAAAGTGGCTTTAGGGTTATACAGCTTTTAAGACAGAGCATCTTCATCCACATTAGTCTTCCCTGGCCTGTATCAATCAGTTCCCTTGTTCTGGATGTACCAGGCTAGGGTGCCCATCTTTTTATTGAATCCAATAATTTCTTTGGGAAACTTTAGGTTCACTGGGATATCACCCAAATACATGTAGTCCTTCTCACTCAATCTACCAATTCTCAGTCCATTCATAGGTGGTAAAGGTATTTTCCTCAGTTATCTCTGAAATAATGATTGAAATATGAGGACAACTTGAGACCCGCTGTTCAGGACAGCACCACATTTCATATTCTCGGTGTCAGAATCACCTTGGAGCAGGGGGTTTTATGAATTCCAGATGGGATAGATCCATAAACAATTGATGAATGGGTCATGGTAATTGTTTGGGGATCCAAGGTGACCTACTTCCTTGGTCCTATCCCCATTTCTCAATTCTGGTTCGATAGGACTAAGGTTGTGTTCTCTCCATAAATACATCTAACATACAACCATCTAATACACAATTTTAACAGAAGAAGCGCCTGCTTTTCTGGATAGGTCCCGGTGGTGGTTTTAATATATCAGGTCATTATGGCCTCTGTTCCCTCGGACCTTTACCTTTCCAAAGGGTACGTGTTTTTCTGCCGTTCCATTCCTTACTTGATCTTTAGTGGGCTCCTGCCTTCTGCCTCAGGATCTTTACTGACACATTTACTGTAGGTAAGACCAAAGCCAGATCCCCTATGCCAGTGAGATGCTATGTATCCAAATTAGGGAACTTCTTAGGATAGAACCATGTCTCTGGGGGGAGACTCCCTTTCTTTGCTTCTATGGCTTGAGAAAATACTCCTGAGTCAATCAAGATGGAGCCTTTCTTTGCAAAAGTTACGGTGTTCCTTCATTTCTGTTGGTATTTGCCTCACCTTGGCTAATTGTGGCAATGGTACCCATCAGTCATGATTAGCGATGTGCAGGTATAGATCAGAGTTGTGTATCAGACCTCTGCATATTTCCTGCTAACTATATCAATTTTTTTCAGGGACAACTGTCCCTCTCTGTATTAGTATTTGTAATTGGGAATTTTAAAGTGAGAAGGATTTTCTTTTTTTCCTTATGCAGAACAGTAGAATTGATAAATATAGTATATGCTTTCTCTAGGGTCTCGCCATCACCACCACATAATGACTCTTTGTTGTTGTTTAGTCATTTCAGTCATGTCTGACTCTCCATGACCCCATTTGGGGTTTTCTTGGCAAAGATACTGGAGTGGTTTGCCATCTTCTTCTCCAGCTCATTTTATAGGTAAGGAAACTGAGGCAAACAGGGTGAAGTGACTTGCCCAGAGTCACACAGCTAGTAAGTGTCTGAGGCTGGATATGAACTTAGGTCTTCCAGACTCCAGACCTGTCACTCTATCCATTATACCACCTAGCTGCCCAATATAATGACTCTAGGTTTTGTAAATATGTTTGCCATTCAACTCCAAATTATGTAGCCTTTAGGCCCTTCACAAAGGCTAAAGCTTTTCCTGTAAGACTCTCCCTTAATCTACTTCTCTTTTCTAATTCTGTTGCCTTTTAATGCTGTAGCATATCTGACCTTTGGTTAATTTAAGCTTCCCAGGATTATTCTCCTGGATGAACAAAAGTGATAATACCTGAAAAGTGCTTAGAACAATGCCTGGCATGTAGTAGGCACTATATAAATGCTTATCCCCTTCCCTTCCGCCTGGGCGGCATGGTTCTATTCTAATAAAGTTCCCTAGGGGCAGCTAGGTGGCACAATGGATAGAGTACCAGCTCTGGATTCAGGAGAACCTGAGTTCAAATCCAACCTTAGACACTTGAAACTTACTAGCTGTGTGACCCTAAGTAAGTCACTTAATCCCAATTGACTCACACACAAAAAAAGTTCCCTAATTTGAATCCATAGTGTCTCACTGGCACAAGGGATCTGGCTTTGGTCTTACCTACAGTGAAAGTATCACTTTTGTACTTAAATGTCACCCAATTTCTTTGTGAGAATGCCTTTTCTGATTAGGAGACCTTCTACTGTCTAAATAGCCACTTCTTCTCAGAGGGTAGCATGTAGTTCATAGGATCATAGATTTAGGGACAAAAGGGACCCTAGAAGACTTTGGGTCCGAACTCCTTTTACAAATGAGGAAACAGAAATGGGGAGATTAAGTGGTTTGCTCATATTGTTAGTGAGTATCTGAGGAAAGATATGAACTTGATTCTTAAAGTCGAGGGTCATAATCAGTTCCCAGGACTATTGTCAGTTCATTAAGAATGTTTGGGGGAAGCTA